ATGTAGAAACTGCCTGAGGCTAACATTCCTGGACCCTACCCTAAGTTAGATAACTAGAAGTAAATGACCCCCCTGGGGTCGAAACTCGTGATAAGTCACATAGGAATGCTTGTGCAAAGGTCAGGCACCTGGTGTGTCCCTGTTCCAATTTTATTGGCCAAAGTATAGAATGTGTTTCAAATTCATTGGTTAGGGTAATGTGCAGACTCCGGTGCAATGACTGTAGAAATCCCATATAAACCATACCTAAAGTTGCTTGGGGGTCAGCAGCTTGGACTCGGCCTGAGTGTCAGGGGAGGTGCTGTCGACCCCAGCTAGCTGGCTGAATAAAGACTTTGCTTGGATTTACATCTCCGTGCCCGTGTAGTTTGTTCTCTGGAGAAGCCTCGGAGTCCAGGACCCTAACACAACATTCCAATTACAAAATAAGAAAAGACTTCAACAGACACTTGACAAAATAAAATGTACAAATGGCCAATAAGCAGTTTAAAAAGTGTTCAACATTATTGGTAATCAGGGAAATGGCACTTAAAAATCACACTACAACTTCATACACACTAGAATGGCTAAATCAAAGAATGATGTCCTAGTTATCTATTGCTGCATGACTTATCACCCCAAAACATAGTAACTTAAACAATTGCAATCATTTTATTATCTCTCACAATTCCTCTGCCTCAGGAATTTGGGAAGGGCGTGGCTGGATGGGGCTGGCCTGGGGGGTCTCTCCTGATGTTGCAGTCAGACTATGGCTGCATGCGGAAAAGTGGTGGCTGGAGCAGTTGGGGCATCTCTCTCTCTCTCTTCACATAGTCTTGGGGTCTCTCTGTCTCTCCATGTGGTCTAGTTTGGGCTTCCTCATAGCATGGCAGCCTCAAGGTCCTCAGATTTCTTACCAGGAAGCTCAGATCTCCAGGAATAAGTCTTAGGCTAACAAGGTAGATGCTGCATTACCTTTTATGACCTAGCTTAAGCAGTCATGGGGTCAACCAACCCACCCAGATTGCAGGGCCGTGAATTTAGACTCTGTCTCTTGATGTGGGAGTGGCAGGACTGTAGAAGAGCATGCAGGGATGAGAGATATTGCTAAGGACTTTTTTGGAAAATACAATCTGGTGTTGACACCAGGAAGAAAAGCAGGTGACAGATGTTATCAGGCCTTGTAAGCCACACTAAAGTTTGGTCTTGATATGAATTGCGATGGGGACCCACTGGAGGGTTTTAAGCAAGGTAGTGCAAATATCTGTCTTAAAAAGTTAGTTCCCAGCTTGGATAAAGAATTTGTGAGGAGTGCTGGGTGGGGAGAGAAACCATTTAGGAAGGGGATCCAGAAGTCCGTGTGCCAGACATGGCGGCCAGCCCAGCCTAGGTGAGGGCACAGGGAGAGGGTGGGGACTAGGAAAGCCGCCAGGGTGCTGGGCCTGGCCAGCTGTTTTGTTCACTTAGCTGAATGATGGAAAATTAAATTTGTTTTGGACATGTGGGGCTTGAAACGCCTGGGTAGACACACGAGACTGGAATTCGGGAGGTAAAAATTCAGGGGAGAACAAACAGCATTTCAAAAGGCACAGAAGTGGACCAGATGTCTGTTAACTCAGGCACTGAGCCTACCCACTCCGTCCCCACGCACGGCCGACGGTACCAGACTCCCGCGGACCGAAAGACGCATGCGCTTACCTACGCCCACGGGCGGCCCCTGGTCGGAAGCGTCCCGGTTGCGCACGCGCGGTGTACACCGGTCGCCATGGAGACCCGTGGCCCTAGCCAGGCGTTCTGCGCCAGAAGCAGCCGGGAGGGTCTTGGGCTGCACGGGGCGCAAGTGGCGGCCCCGTGGGCGGATGAACGGCTGTGGTGAGGCCCGGGCGTCGGGGTGCGGCGAAGAGGGCGACGGCGACGACGAGGAGGAGCGACGGGGCGGCCCTGCATGCTCTCCGAGGTCCAAACTGCCCCCCATCTCGGGCAGCGCCTCCGAACTGACCAAACGGAAGGTGAAGAAGAAAAAGAAGAAGACCAAGGGGTCGGGCAAGGGGGACGGTAAGAGGAGCAGCCAGCGCGGCAGCCTCAGCTCCTGTAACTGAGATTCTCCTCCCAGGTCACTCACCCCCACCCCTCACGGAGACCCCATATACTTGGGGATCCCTTCAGACCAGAAACAGAAACTCGCCAGTCTCAAACAGAGGTCCTCCTGCTCCCCACACATGCCACTTTTCACAGCACAATGGTGCCCCAGCTCTATGCATAAAGATCATTCCTTTCTGCAGATATCCTACCCCAGTGAGCACAGGGACCCCAAAGCCTGTGTTGAGAATTCTCGACACCCCTGGAGACCCTCAACCCCACACACAGACCCACCCACAGAGCCTCCCAGCCCCACACAGCAGCTCAGCTTTGCTCAGACACCCTCTCAACTTCCTAATCTCTCAGGTGAAATTCCTAATTCTAAAACATTGGTACCTTCCCAGCAGAAATCCCAAGCCCTCCTGCAGAGATCCCCTCATCTTCTCACACAGGCTTTCCCCAAGCCAAAGACACTAGGCCACTAGTGACAAACACACACACCAATGCAGTCTCCTGCCTTCTGCGTAGACATCCCCCTTGTACCCTCCTACATTAGGGACACCTGGCCTCTGGATAACATGTAGACACCCAGTAAATGCCTATAAAGGGTCCTCCCTTTGCAGACTATCCTCCCTGACCTCCATCTGCTGAAGCCAGCCTTTGACTGCACACACACCATCACAGAGTCACTGCTCTGTATCCCTGAAATCCCAAACACTCTCAATAACACCCCCTTATATCAGTATAAGCACCAAATAAAATTAAATCACAGATACCCCATTAGGCACATGCATTCAGTCTACACACACACATAGAGATACTCTGTTACATGCATAAACCACCCACTCGCAACAGTTACCCTGCACATACAGCCATACGCACACAGGCTCTCCCTCCAGCCTCTCCTGGACCTCACATACATATACCAACACCTACCACAAACCCACGGAGTACCTGCGTCTCACCAAATTCCTCTAATAGAGCCCCCTGATTTATCGACAAAGGTGCTGAGCACCCACTTTAGGGACAGCGAGTGCAACAATGACATAGAATGCACTGGCCCATCAGTGCTGTGTCTTCCCTGTCACCTGTGCGGACCCCCTCTCGGGGGCTGTCAGGGAGGTGGCCCTCACTGACCCTGACCTCCAGCATGGCTAGTCTTGGCTTCAGGTTCTGGGTCCTGGCCCTTTGTGCGGCAAGCTGGAGGCAGGAGTGGCAGCCTTCCCCATTACCTGTGTGGTTTGGGGAAGGGAATAATAGGAAGGTTAGAGTTACTTCTTCAGATGGAATCATAATAAAAAGGCAAGAAAGGAGTTTAGGTCAAAAAACCCTGTGTATATCTGCAAAGCCAAATTAGCATATTTATTGTCTTTTGGCTTAGCTTCTGATCCTAGAATTTACAGTGGCTGGTACCTCATGCTGTCAAGCAGGGGACCCCAAATAGTTCTCAAGGAGTAGGAAGGTGAAAATGTCAAGAGAGGATATATTTTTCTTCTTTTCTTTTCTTCTTTTTTGGGGGCATCAGGTGGGGTGGATTTCTCTCTCGCCTAGAATAGGATGAGATGATGAAAGAACTACAACTTTTAGTATTTCAATGTGTGCTATATAACTCAGAAATGCTAGTAATGTAAAAAAAAAAAACCAGTACAAGCCACACAGCACAAGTATTTCCTGGCTCAGCATTATATTGCTTTCCGCAGTCAGGTTTAGGAAGCTTTTCTGTTGTTCTCCATGCCCTTTCATCACAAAGAAGTCTAGATGAGTAGAAGCTGAGACTCCTATAAACAGAAAGTACCTTGGTGAGTGTGTGGAGGGGTGAAGCACGGCAGCACGGTAGAGGGGAAGAGCAGGGCCCTGGGAGCAGGCCTGCGTGCAGATTCTAGCCCTGCCACCCACTATGCAACATTGGCAAGTGACTGAGACTTCGGGAGTCTCAGTTTCCTTACCTGGAAAATAGGGTTGAGCACCTTTATCCAGAGGACCTGGCTCACGGTATGTGCTCAGTAAATGACTTGACCAAAATGACTTGACCAAAAGCGCATAGTGAGGGGGTGGGTATGAGGCTGGGGGGCTTGGCCACCTGAGCCCTAGGAAAAAGGGCATCCCTCCGCAATGCTTTGGTGATCTGGGCATCACACCCAAGCAGGCCGAGGGCAGACACCACCACCAACACTAACACCACTCATCTGCTCAGCAGATAAACACCAGAGTCGAGGCCTAAAGAATCAGCCGACTTCATCCTTTCATGGCATACTAAGTCCCAGCAAAGATCACAGCCCAAGGCAGAAGCGCAGACAGGACAGAGATGAAAACAAGGTCATCCCTTTGTGCTCCTCCACTGTAAGTCTCCTCCACCTTGCTGAAATAGAAGAGAACCTTCCGAAGCAGATCAGCGAAAGCCTGCGTTGGGATGGCATTCTCTCAGACCCCGGGGCAGAAAAGGAAAGGATTCGCATATATAAAGTGAACCGGAGGAAGCGGTACCAGCTTTTGGCCCTCAAGACATTCCGCTCTGACTTGCGTGCAGAGGAGACCCCCGAGACCTTGCCCTACGCCTCAGATGAGGACAGCAGCCCTGACAACGGGCAGCCCTCATTAACAGCCAGCAGCCTGCCTCGCCACTTCGAGGGAAACTTTACCCCAAAGCTTCTACACGCTGATTTAGCCACTACTATGCCCAAGTGAAAATCCACCCATGACATTGACAAGCTTATCATTTATCTTTACCCCAAGTTTATGTGTTAAAAAATAATAAACGGAAATCAGACCTATGTCTGAAGGAAGCCGATGTCTGGTGTGTTGATGAGGTCAACCTCTTCTTTCACCAAGATGCCCTTAGTCCCCAGGAAAGCCACATTTCCTTAACAGAAGCAATTTAATGAACAGAGTTCTTTTCAGGATTTTCTTTTGCTCAGATAAGCTGGCATCTCTTTGTTATTTAATTTCTCACCACAGTTTGCTGTTTATACTGCACAGCTCCAAACCAGAGAAAGTGTGAGTGTATAGATTGTATCAGTTCAAAAACACATTTTATGGGTAAAGCTCCTCACACAGCGTGCTTCTGTAGGCCCAAGGAAGAGGCTCCAATATCCTGGAGATATTTTAAAAAATTAAACACATTCCCTGTGGCCTTCAAAATAAGTGAGTTCCAGAACTTCATCCCTGGAGGTCTCAAAGGAATATTGCTTGTTTCATAATTAAGGTCCTCCCAGAGAACAACAGATAGGTGGTTACCAGAGGGGGAGGGGGTTGGGAGTGATGGATGGTAACCAGACTTATGGTGGTGATCACTTGGAGGTGTATACAAACAGTGAATTATGCTGTACACCGGAAACTTACATAATGTTACATACCTCAATTTAAAAGAATATATACAGTCCTCCCCTAATCCACCATGGTGGCATTTTAAGCAAAGTTCTGGAGCATTAAAAAGGCCCTACAGTACTACTTGTCCTAAGTTTTCTTCCCTGACACAAATACTTATTGAGTGAGGGCCATGTGTTGTCTTAAAGTTTGAGTTCTCCCAGAAGCAGACCCTGAGACAAGGACTCAAATGCAAGTAGATTATTTGGGAAGCGAAGGGAAGCTGAGGAGAGAGGATACAGGGAAGGGAAGGAAGACAATCTAGGGACACTCTTAAACCAGCCTCCACCCTGGGCAATTGGGGTTTAATCCCACAGGGAACACTGTCAGGATTACCCCGCTTGAGGGTGAGGGAGCTGGGGTTTTCTCCTCTCCGGAGGCCCGGGCGGAGGGCTTGGCCTAGGCGGTGTTAATATCCCTGACTTCCCAGCCTGCTACATGGGTGGGCCTAGAATTCTACCTCAGTTGTTGGAAGAATCACCCACAGGCACCAAGACGCAGACAGAGAGGTGCAAGGGATGGGGTGGTCTCGGGGGTAGCAGAGGCCACCTGAAGCCACACAGTGTGGAGCCCGAGAGGGACAGAGTGAAGGTTTCAGGTGAGGTCCCTGCCTTCCGAGGAGTTAAAGACATGCAGGTCATCAGGAAGAGCTGAAGGCCACAAAGGAGCATGCTGGATGTCCATATGAGGTCCTTGATCTCTGCTGGTCTCCCGCTTACAGAGTCCTCCTCACCTTTCCTCAAAAGGCCAGGCGTGGAATTCTCACATTTTGGCCATTGTACCCTGGCAAATATAGTGAAGGGACTTTTGGAAGAGCCCTGTCCTCTCCCGGAGAAGAGGTTACAGCTGCACCTGGCAGGGGCCCTGAAGCAGACAGGAATGGCCCTCCCTGTGTAGAGGCCACCAGGCTTTCCCCAGCTGCCCAAGGAATCAAGTCAAGGGCTTTGGTGCAGCTCTCCATGGGGAGGAGAAGATGGGAAATGTGCTAACACTCAGCCACAGGACCTTCCCCGATGGCTCTAGGTAAACACAGCAGAGGGCGGAGCAGCTGGGCTGGCATCTCCCATGCATTGATCAACCACAGTGGCTGGGAGTGCAGTGCATGGAGGAATCCGAGGACACACTGAGCTTTGAGATGCCTTTGTCATTCTGAATTGTCTTCCATAGGTAGAGTGTGTGGGTTGGGGGGCTGTGGTTGCCTTTCTGCCATGAGATATTCTGGGATATTGTTAAGATTAGGAGCTCTGACATCAGAGCTGAATATCTCTTTCCTACCACATGCTAGCTGTGTGATTGCATGAAAATTGCTTACCTTCTCTGAGCCTTAGTCACCATCTGGAAACAGGGATGCAAATTACCAACCTCAGTGGTATGGGAATTAAATGCAGTTAATTACGTAACACATTTAGCATAGCATGGCCCCTAGGAAGCACTCGATCTGTTATAAGAGTTTTGAGCAATGCTATTTTAGGTTGAGGTAGAAACACAGACACTGGAGGGCTGATGTGGAGCTCACCTCCTCAAAGGGTGAGCTTCACAAAGAAATGTGGATTGGGTGGCTGGCCAATAGCTATAATTCAAACAAATCAGAGGGGTCTAGAGCAAGAGAGAGCACAGGAGGGACGAAGCAAGGGTCTCAAAGTCTAATGTTTTAGAAAGGGAGCTTTAGGCCAAACAAGAAAGTACCTGCTGGTAACCAAATGGGAGTCTGTGCTTAAAGATATAGAGGAAGCAGGTGGGGAAATGCGCCCACAAGCACAGAAGTGGCTCCAACTCAAGTGGCCCTGTTAGGTTAGAAGTTTTAAGTATATTTCTCATACCTGGATCAGGGAGGATGCATCAGCAACGACCTTTTTCCAGTGGTGAGGAATAGAAAGCCCAAGGCAAACTGACTGACTTTGATAACAGGTTATAGTTTAACAAGACCCGCACGTGGTTCCTGTGCACGGTACCCCCGCGGGGAGGGCCACCTTGGCTCCAGACTCTTTTTTGAAGGATGCTGGTATGAGGAACAATCTTGGAAGACAGACAGAATCTCCCTCCAGAGCATGGGACAGATTTGCTTACTCTTTTTTATAAGAAGATTCCAGTTCCTAGGCTCAGAGTTCCTCTCCTGTTATACCACCCCTTTGGTCCGTGCTGCCTGGTCCTCTTCACAACACTGTTGGGACCTGAGGCTCTAGAAATGAGCACAAATGCCGACACGCTAGCTATTGCTGTGACTGATAAGCTGCCCTGTGTCTCTTGACGCAAGAGTCTCACGTCTTTAGCCACCATCCAGGAAAACGTGGCAGTCTAACTTGCTAGCTTACAAACAGCATAAAATCTGACTCTTCACAATTCTTGACCCTGGTCTAAGGGACAGACAGACTAACCATTCAACTCTGGTTTCTCTACACTTAATCACCAGAAAGCTGTATAATATTCTCCAGTCAGGCTTTACTTGTTAAATTATACAGGAAGTGCATAGGTATTACAGACAAATTAGAAAATACAGATCAGCAAAAAAGGGGTTTTAAAACAAATAGGCCTACTGTTCAGAGAGAGTTAACCTCACCTGTTTAGTATCCATCCTTCCAGCCTTTTTCAATTCACGTATTTGTATACAGGAAAACAAAATTAATCGGGTAATAATACATTACCTGTTGTCTTTTAGTGGTTCTCTTAAAGATACAGCACGGACATCTTTCCAAGTCACTGAATGACCATCCACGTCACACTTTGTAATAACGGTTGCCTAGTGTTTCATTGCATAGACCATTTAGTCAGTCCCTACGTGTGGGTATTTACTTGGCTTCCTGTTTTTTGGCTATTCTACACACGTTTGCAAGGAACATCCTTATAAGCACAGTTCTATATACTGTATATACGTTCTTTGTCAGATGTGGATATTTTTTTCAGTCTGTGGCTTACCTTTTATTTTCTTCATGGAGTCTTTGAAGAGCAGTTTATTTGTATATAGTTTGCTTTGATGTGTTTTCAGATTTTTCAATTTCATCTTGTGTTAATTTCGTAAGCTACGTTTTTTTAAAGGAATTTTTGCTTTTTATCTAAGTTGTCAAATTTGTTGGCATAAAATTGTTCCTAGTATTAACTTATTATACTTTTGATGCTGGTAGTATCTCTCTGTTCAGTCATGATATTGATAATTTGTACTTTCTATTTCTTGATCAGTCTAGTTGAGGTTTATCATTTTTTTCCCAAAGAATCCAGTTTTGGTTTTCAAAATTTTCAAAATTATTTGTCTGGTTCTCTTTCATCAATAGGAATCTGTATTATTTCCTTCCTTCCTCTTTAGGTTTAATTTGCTCATCTTTTTCTAGCTTCTGAAGGTAGAAATCACCCTAAGAGGGGCAATAGAAGTGGGAACCGCTTCATGAGGTTACTCATAATTGGGGTTACTTCAGGGTGCCTGCTTTGTTCCAACATCTGTGCTATCAACCCCCTGTATGAAATACCCTCTGCTGGAATGGTTTTGGTTTTCCTGAGTGGATTCTGATGGTTATATATCGAAACTAGCATTTCTTAAAGTGCATTCCAAAAACAATAGTCCTGTGAAATGCTCCTGGGCTCTCTGGTCCAATGAGTTTGGAAAATGCTACATACTGGACTTCCCCTTGTGGGGCTTCTCAATGCACATTGCCATATTCACGGCTCTGATAGTTTACTCACTCTTTGATATATAGCAAATGTTTACTCTTTGTCCCCGCATCCATGGGAGAAAGCATGGCTCCCCAATCCACTGAAGTTGGGTTTGGCCGTGCAACTTGTTCCGGCCACGGAGAATGTGGGTAGAAGTAACAGGATGGCAGCTTCTGGTGCGGACCTCCAGAGATGTTGTTTCTGCTCATTCCTCTGGGACCTCTGGCCTTCTTCCCTGAGAAGAGCGTGCTGCAGACCATTTCTCTAGCCTGCTTCAGGGGCAAGCAGAGCGAACCCTAGCTCAATGCCTACCTAGCCTTGGGTGGAGCTGCCCTATCAGATTATACAGCAAGAAGTCAATGCTTACTGCTGTGTGCCATGTGATTTTGTGGTGGTTATGCAGCAAAAGCTGATTCATGCAAGGGTCCCAAGAAGCCCGGCAGTAAACATACTTAGCATTTTTATTTCCCCAAACTTATTTGATCATAGATCCTTGTTTTATTCCATAGAAAGCAGTTTCTATGACATAAAGGAACCAGTTGCTGGTGATTATCGTCTAAAATAAAATCACTGGAATTTAACTGTGAAAAGAGGCATTCCTTACCAAAGGATTTGTCACCTCATCAATAGAGTTACTTCTTTTTTTTTCCCCAAAGGTTCAAGTTCTTTGAATTTGTGGAAACACAGGTGATTTGTTCACTTCTTAAATTTCTGGAAAGTACACCAGAAAGTCTTCCTAAGACTTATCATATTTGTAATTACACTTACTACTTTTCTCTTGAGGGCACCAACTTAATCTGATTTGCTTAGAAAGGTATTTTTTAAGAGAAAATTGAGACATTAGTTTCAACACACTTTTTTTGCCTCTCTGACCACACACACACACACACAGTTAGAGCTTTAATCCTACATGGTTTAATTATTTTCCCAACAAAAGCTTGGAACTACTAGGTCATTCATTTCATGGAAAACTTACACCATATACCTAATTGACAATATTAGCCTTTGTCATCATCCCAACAAGCCAGGTTAGATTTAATTTTGGTTAAAAAAATAATTTTTAAAAAATTTATAGGCAAACAATTCCCAGACAAGCAAAAAATTTATAGGCATGGTAATAGGCATTCCTGGGACATATTTATTTCTGAGTTGTAACTCAAAGACCAACAAATAAGGCACAGTCTTGCCATGAATTTGCCATGAGTTTGGTGTTTGAAGATGGCTTGCCTCTTCTTTTTATTGAAGTACAGTTGATATATAATATTATATTGGTTTCAAGTATACAACACCGTGGTTCACCAGTTACCCACATTATTAAATCTCCACCCCAACTAATGCAGTTACTATTTGTCTACGTAAGATGTTACAGAACCATTGGCTATATTCTCCAGGCTGCACTTCCATCTGCATGACCAACTTACATTAGATGGAGATTTTGTGCCTCTTTATCCTCTCACCTCCCCACCCCCACCCCAAGATGCCTTCTCTTTCAATATTTCTTGTCAACCCTCTCTTTGCTTTGTCCAGAGGGATTTCCCCTCAGGAAGATCATAGTCTGGGATTGAAGAGATGTGGGTATTAAATTAAAAATGTCCTCATTCCAACTGCCTCACTTTATGAGATATTGGAAGTGAGAACTTCCCGACACAGGCCAACCTTGCTTCGGCCAGCACGCTTCATCCCTGACAAAATCATGTGTAGGACATTGATAGACACAAAGCCCTACATGGGAGTCCAGTGTTCCTAACTGACCCTCTGTACCTATAGGTTTTTTCAGCCCAGAGCAACATCCCACAATAGAATTAAGGATGGTTTAGACTAAGGCATGTATTCCTACTGCAAAGTGGGAGAAAAGGAAGGTGGGAAGGGAGGGCAGGCCTGATGTCATTGCTCACAGCCCCATTTTCAGGGCAGATAGGTTTTAAGGAAGAGTACACTGAATCTGGGAACAAATTCCTTTAAACTCTCTGTGCCCAGAGCCTTTGGAAATCTTCATGTACCCCCACAGGAATCCATAGATAGATAGAACTATTACACTATTAAAATACAATCACATCTTAAAATTTCTCAAGATGAGGAGCTTTTCTCATAATCTCAACCAAAACATAATTTTACTTTAAAAAAAGAGAGGCATCTCTTAAGTTTTGTGTTTTTTTAATATAATTTATTGTTAAATGAAGGAGTCACAGAGCAAAATGGAGTGGAAAAGATGTCACAGATAAATTTAAAAAATAGTTTTTGTCAAATACCATTGTGGATTTCCTAAGGTTAGAAACAGGTAAAGTGTCAAATGAAAAGGTAATCATTCTTTTTAAAAGATCTGGATTTGAAAAGAAAACAACTTTTCTCTGAAAATACAAATCCTTTTTACATGAAAGCCATAATTTAAGAGACTGAAAAGAAAAAAAGACTTTTTAATAAGTAAACTCTGTCTCTCAGATATGCTTAGGAATGTTTGGTTTTAATGAGTTTTAAAAATCATTGCTTGCACCTTGCAAACCAACGTGAATCTGCCATTGATTGACGCCACTTGATCCACCAGAAGTGCCCCATTGTCTTCACATGCTTCCTTTTCTGCAACTTTCAGCAAAGCAGGTTTGAAGAAAAAGGATGGATTAGAAAGAACTACAGTGAATAACTTAACAAAAATAAAACCTGCTGTCCCATTCGCATTTCACATTCGCAATTGCTCGCTTCTACTTTACTGGTATATTTCAGATTCTCTCCACACCTAGAGTGATTTGCCTGAACTTAACCCAATCCTCCTAAAACGAAAAATCTCATATGGACATCTCAAAAGTGTTCAAAGGCCATGTTCTCCCACACTTGCCTCTCCTGCCATGCTGTCCACAATACTGTTCTGAGCTCATTCAAGTGTCCCCACCGGGCCAGAGCTAAGCCTTGGGTATTCTCTTAATGTAATTAAAAAATTACATTTACCATTGTCTTAAATGATAAGATTATGAAATCAGAGAGGAAAAAAATCCATTGTTTAATCAATGAATGCTGTGTAATTTGCTCTTCTAAAGGTAGGAAGCATTTGTTGCTCTGAGTGACTAAGGAGGCAGTGGGGTCCCGGAGTGCCCCCTTGAGAGGTCCTTGCTGAGAGTCACTGTGGCAAACAGGACCACGGAGCCGACTACTGACTCCACCAGGCTCCACTGAGGGGCTGCGGCCAGTCAGGAGCACGGAAGACCAAACATTTTTACATCGGACACCAGACAATTTGGCTCAGGAGGCAGCCAATGACTTCAGATGAGAGTGATTATCATCACACCTGCTCTCCTTGGAATAAAAGTCCCTGCTGTGGCTCCAGGGTACCAGAGAGCTATCAATTCTGCATTCAGGACAGATGGAAGCCATGAACAGAAACAGATACAGCAGGAGTCTGAGCTTACAATAGTCTGTAACCCTTGAGCACTTGACATAATTTGGATGCATTCAAAGGAAATATCCACAGTTTGTTCTTTCCAATATTGGAACAGAAAAAGCCATCTGCCACTTTCTTCTCTCAAAAAATACAGAGACTGGCAGAAGGAAGAAGTTAGGGCTGGGGTGAGGCAGGGTGGGCAGGGGGCTGAAGCCAGAGGCAGCTGGCCCACCACACCCTCCTAGCCCAGCTGCTGTCCCTGCTTCTGAGGCCAATTCAGCTGAATTCACAAAGTTTCTTCAATTCACACGCAAAGCCACAAGTGTCACTTCCAGTAAAGGAACACTTAAAGGAAATGTGTACCATCACAACAGCATCCAGGTTCTGGGGTTTGACTTGTGACATCATTCCCTATTCTGAATTCGCCTTTGCTTCCCTCGGGGGGAGGGTCAATTTCTTTGCTTTTTGCCTTAGACCTACACAGAAATCCTCTGCAGTATCGACACAATTGAAGGCCTAAGAGCAGCTGGGGAGGGCACCCATCCTGACAAGCCCCAGCATCGAGAACAGCTACATCCACCTCCTCCCAGAGGGCGTCAGGTCCTCGGTGTGGCCGTAGGTTCCCATCATGACTAAAACCACCCCCCCACCAGGAAGTCCCCAAAAGTGTTTTTCCTAAGCATTCCTTTAAAATGCCGTTCCTCTCAAAAAGGCCCTCTGCCATGTTTTGCCTTAAGAAAAAATAGGAAAGTATTTGGAAACCCCAAAATGCATATCAGGATAGTTACACAAGCCTGTGGAGACATTCCCAGATGCCAAGGTTCAAGGCACTTTGCCAGATCCCGAGCTTGGAACCAATGGGTGGAAGGAACGGAACGCAGGCCATTACATCCGAGAGTGATGGCTCAGGGGGAGCTGACCCTCCTGAAGAGGTGAGAACAGGGCCAACCTTTCCTGTCTGTCTTTTTTTTTTTAAAAAAGGCATCTTATATTGCAGTTTGGGGTTTTTCAATATCATGAAAAAGATTTAGAGAATTCCAAGACTTTTGGTTAAAGGAAATACAAATGGAAATGGGAATAAAAAAATGGATGGAACTTGACTCTCCGCAGATTGAACCCATATGGGTGTCACAGCTTACTGAATTAGCACCACTTTCACAGCAGCAAAGACACCCGGGGCTGAAATTTCTTAAAACTCATTTTTTCCATCCCAGAGACTTGTTCCATGCTCTTCCTCAAACTGACTGATGGGAGACCTCTCCCCTTTCTCCCTATTTCAAATTGTGGCCATTTTCTTTTTGTTCTAGTTGGCTTTTTATTTTCTCGTTAAATTGAGATGGGGGAAACTGTGAGGCAGTAAACTAGAAATAAACTCCTTTGAAAAACAATTTGAACATTTTTCAAAAACCCAATTCTCTCTATATTATAAGATGCTTTTTTTGTTTTGTTTTGTTTTTTTCTTTCCCAGGCTGGGCTTGGAGGTATGTCTGCGTCAGACCTTTCTGGGGCATGAATGACACTCGAGGGCAGTGCAGCCCGACTTGACCGGGGCAGCGAGGGCCGGTCCATCCCCACCCACCCAGCCTGCTCGAGTCAGCAGGCCTCCGGAAGGTAGTCACCGCCCAGACACTCCGTGGCTTCGAGTTCCACGCTGGACAGGAACCTCCTCAGCATCTTGCGGCAGTTGTAATCCAGGGTGGTGGTGTAGACCGTCTTGGGGTACTTGGGGTAGACGATGGTGGTGCTGAGGAAGCGGGTGGGCTTGTGGCGGGGTTCGAAGTGCACCTCCGCCTTGTAGTTGCGCCATGTGCAGTTGGGGATACAGGTGACCGTCTGGCTGCAGGAGGCCACTGCCAGGCCCAGGGGCAGGTGGACATCGTTGATGAAGTGCCTCTCAGAGCCGTACCTGACCAAGGAAGTGTACCTAGGAGGAAGACATAAGGCAGCATGAAGCTGCTCCCTGAGCTGGGGGCACAGAGGTCCTTTCTGACCTTGAGCCTTTCCTGGGGTGCAAACCCTGATGTGTGGCTACTGGAGTCAGAAGCAGCATAGATCTGAGGAAGCAATTCGTGTGTGGTTCTTCTCTAAACGCTTTACTTCCAGGGTCTGATTTAACTGTCCCAACATCCTGGGAGAGGAAGTGGAGGTGCAGAGGTTAATGTCACAGTGGGAGTGAGAAGTGGGGCTGGTATTTAAGCGCAAATGTGCAAGAATCCATAGTTTACCGCGTACTCCCTGCTCCTCCTGGCAGGCAGCAGCCCCTGGACTCTGCCCATCTACTCAGCTCTGTCAAGTTACTTAACTTCTCCAAGCCTGCTTCCTCTTTCTGTGAGAGGTGCCCAGTAACAACTGGCAGAGTGTCAACACATAGCAAGTGCTGTCAGTGGTGAACTGCAGGTAACAAGGTGGACGCCACGGCTCACCTAGGGGTGAATGGTTTCTCTGTCCCCTGTGTGATCAATCAGCTTTTTAATGAGGGGACAAAGGAGCCCAGAAATCCCAAATGGATCTCTGGTCCTGAAAGCTCGGTGATACCAAGTACCAGCACAGCGTCCACCCTGGCCTTAGGTTTGTACACCCCTCTGACCCAGGGACTCCCAGATCTGACCGCGTCAATCACAGCCAGTTACAATCCTCACTTCCATAAAATAAATTAATACCCACGATCTTCAGCAGCCACTTTATTATTATTTTTTTAGTCCTTTTTTGGTAATTTGGGAGTTAATTTTTTTAAATGGAAGCATTTATTTTACTGTGTAATTATTGCAACTTCATAGATAGTAAAATATGTACGAGCATCACACAGAGACACAGCCAACAGCACTGCCCCTACTGGCCCTAACCCACTGGCCAGGGAATAAGACTGCATTCTTTTCAGTGAGTTGGATGGAACCATCTGTTCTTGGGCAAGTAGGTTAAAAGGCTGGTGGAAGCTAATGTCATGAAGTCATGTTCTCATTTTGTTCAAAATACAAGCTCCACAGGAATAAAGGACTGAACTGCTCACCTCCAAACTGGTGAGTTGCTTTTGTTCCACGTTAAAGGGTCCTTTGTGTTAAGGCAGCTGAAACTCCATTAATAAAACCACCAGCTATCCAAAGTAGAGTTCCTTTCTCTAAAAAGATACATCTTACACAGAGCTTCTCAACGAACCTCTGCCCCCAGGTAATCCTGGATGAGATAAATTCCCAAAGGAAGAATGGTACTGGCCCTTAGTGAAATGGAGATTGGAGAAAAGGTTACATACAGTGTTTTGAAGCCAGGGAGGGAAGCGAGGGGGGGGGGGGGAGCAGCTTCTGGGAAGTGGAGTTACTTTGTGACATAATTTTAAATATCTGATGGCCATGACCAATGAAGTGCAAAAAACAAGTTGCAGGACTCTGTGTATAACATAATCTTGTTTGTATATGTTTAAAAAGCATGTTTATATATTTAATTGGTTAGAATGCAGGAAAAAAAATCCAAGGGAGTACCCATAAAACTACAATAGTTTTTGGCACATTTTTGCAATTAACTAATTAAAAAAAAATAACAAGCATTACTTTCTGGAATAGAAAATGAAAATTAAAAAAATAAAATCAGGGCCTCTGTACTTACCTTATTTCCATCGGTGGTAAGGGGTCAAACTCCACTCCTTCACCAAAGGACAGGGGGCATAACCTTGGTGAGCAGGTGAAGGCCAGGAGGTTGGGGAGAGATGCTGGATTCTGTGAGGATGGAGGAGGCAGCTGGACCACAGGCTGCTTGGACGCATCCCCACCAAAGGGCCTGGCTCTGAACCCCCAGCTGCTGAGCCTAGCTGTAACTTGTGGCCCCCCTCGTGGGAATCATGCCAGAGAAGGGCTGACCCCCCGCACGGGAAGAACACCTGGGTAGGCAGCAGAGAGGTCTGGGTTCAAATCCCGGGTCTATCACAAATGTGCTGTGTACCCCGAGTCACATCACACTCCCTCTGATGCTCTCTGCAACCAAGCGGGTGCCTCTTTTCATCACCAAGGTTTTGCAAAAGGCTGACAAGAGGAAACAAACCCGAGCTCAGTGCCATGACCATGGCCAGGGCCAAGGCTGCTGTGCCATCCCCAGCGAGGCGGTGCAGAAACTTGATGAGCTGGGGCTTCACTAACCAGGGCCCTCAATTATGTGCCCCCAACCCTGTCACTGTCTCGGCAACACTTTAGAAAAGCCCAAAACAACAAAACTCCACCAGGAATTTTTTTACACTGAAGATTCAATCCAACTTCCCCTACCTTCTCTGCCTCTGGGGCTGCCAGATCAACACCCACTGAGTGGGAGGAATCTGCAAACTCACTGGTCAGATGAACACCAAAAAGTTCTCTATGCCCCCTTCCACTATCCAGAACATTCAGCATTCTAGAGGGTAACTGGCTTCTAGCCCGGCCAAAGCTTCAGCCTTTCTGATTCATCAGGCAACCTGAGTGAGGCTGCTCCCTTCTACATGCAGGTGCTAGTTTTCACCCCATCTGACAAGAATCGGGGCTTCTGGGTTAAGTGTGCAACAGAGAGCAGCCCTTGAGGGGCTTGAATTTACTGGTGATGTGTCACTTTCTTTGCCTAATTTGAGAGAAGGATCCACACTTAGCCCAGGGTGGGGAGGTGGCTTCCCCATGCTCATGTCTTCTAGGACAGAAGGAAGCAGACATTTCTAGAAGGTTGGCTTGAAACTCTTGTTATCAGAACAAGGTGTCAGGTAGGGGTGTAGAGTGGAGATACAAAAGCCAAAGGGGCTCAGGGTAGGTCAGGGAGAGGCAGAGTCCCGAGGGTCCCCCTCCTGAGGGTGGATGAGAGTTTAAGGAGCCTCCGCCGGGGTAGAAGCTGTGGTGGAGAGCCAAGGTCAGCAGATGGGGAAGGGTGAGGGGTGGGCTTGGCTGCTGCAGACTTTGGGGAGCAGCCCAAGTAGGGGCAGGGGACCGACCCTGCTTGGCCCCAGCTCCCTGGCTGCCAGACACTCCCCAACCTAGGGGGCACCTCCCAGGAACTCCTGGGGGGCTGTGGGAGGATAGCCACCAAGAGGAAGTAGGCAACTCTCTTTGACACTCACACATAGTCTTCTAGGCACCCACAGGGGCACTTAGTTCTCCTGCTTCTGCCTTCTCTGCTCCTTCCTCTCTGAACACTCAACAGACACCCTGAGCACGTACCTTTCTCCAGGTGCAGGCTGGGGGTGTGGGGGCAGGCAGCAGGAGTGTAACAGACACTTGAACAAGGCGCCACCAGGGCATGGAGATAAAGCCAGACTCTAGCATGGCTCTGGGAAGCATCAAGGAAGACTTCCCAGAGGAGGTGGCAAATTGGGCATTGAAGGGCCAGCAGGGCTCTGACAGTGGGAAAAGCCAACTGGGTGTTGGCAGGGGTTGGGGGGCTGGGCTCAGAGGGAGAAGGCATACGTGGTGGGGCAGCAGCATCAGAGGCACCAGTGTGCATGGATCTATGGTCAGGGGATGTGTTAGATGAGGCTAGAAAGGGCCGGATGAATTAGTTCAACCATTGTGGTAAGCAGTATGGAGGTTCCTCAAAAAACTCAAAATAGAAATACCATTTGACCCAGGAATTCCACTCCTAGGAATTTACCCTAAGAATGCAGCAGACCAGTTTGAAAAAGACATATGCACCCCTATGTTTATCGCAGCATTATTCACAATAGCCAAGAAATGGAAGCAACCTAAGTGTCCATCAGTAGATGAATGGATAAAGAAGATGTGGTACATATACACAATGGAATATTATTCAGCCATAAGAAGAAAACAAATCCTACCATTTGCAACAACATGGATGGAGCTAGAGGGTATTATGCTCAGTGAAATAAGCCAGGCAGAGAAAGACAAGTATCAAAGGATTTCACTCATCTGTGGAGTGTAAGAACAAAGGAAAAACTGAAGGAACAAAACAGCAGCAGAATCACAGAACCCAAGAATGGACTAACAGTTACCAAAGGGAAAGGGACTGGGGAGGATGGGTGGGAAGGGAGGGATAAAGGGGGGGAAGAAAGGGGGCATTATGATTAGCATGTATAATGTGGGGGGGGGGGCACAGGGAGGGCTGTACAACACAGAGAAAACAAGTAGTGATTCTACATCTTACTACACTGATGGACAGTGACTGTAATGGGGTGTGTGGGAAGAACTTGGTGATGGGGGGAGTCTAGTAAACATAATGTTCCTCATGTAATTGTAGATTAATGATACAAAAAAATAAAATAATAAAAAAGGGCCGCATGGCGAAGGTTCTGAGGGCCCAGTTGAAGAAGCAAGGGCTGCTGCCCCAGGTAAAGGAGAGAAGGTCCTGCCATCCACAGAGACAGGTTGGGGGTCAAGAACCCCAGGTACCAACAAAGTGCCTGCGCACGCCCTTGAGAGCAGCAGCTGCCACTGCCCACTCCACCCCAGGGGAGGGGCTGTAAACACCCACCCCCAGGGCCAGGGGGTCTGCTGGGAGCCCTACTCTGAGCTTTGACTGTAGGCAGGATGTGGCCTCCCCTGAGCTCTGGGTAAAGGCAACGAACACCACCACCTGAGCCATTCCTAAGGCAAAAGAGACTTGGTGCATTTTCTTTAAACACAATTTTTAAAATTAAATAACCCACCTAAAGGCCTCCCACCCATCGCGTGCTGGACACGGGTTAGGTGACACAAGCAGAGCCACCAGGAGCCCGGAGGCTCATGAGGTAGCGCTTCTCCAAAGTCCCCCTCTAAGGCCACTAACGTGGTCCCCAAGGGCTGGTCCCGTTTGCTCTCGGGAAATCGGGAGCCGCTGCACATGCCTCTCCCTAAGACCACCAGGAATGGGCAGGCCCCTGGGAGCGGGGGTGCAAGCCCACAGTACGGGGAAGGCTGGGGTTCCCTCCCGGTGTCCAGGGTCCCCCTCCAGCCGGCGCGGGCAAGAATGTGGCCCAGCAGCAGCCCAGCAGCCCCGGGGGGCCGCCACCCTGAAGGGAGGAGGCGGCGGCTCGCCTCCCCGGGGCTCCCGCGCCTCCCAGGCGATGACAATTTTCCAGCCACCGGCTCCAGCTGGCCGGGCTCTGCAGCGCTCCCGCCCCCGGCTCCCGGCGACGGCCACGCCGTCCCGACGGGCGGGTGGGGGCGCCGACAGCGTGCCCTGAGCGGGCCGCTCCTCCGGCTGGTGGTCCCCAGGGCGGGAGGGCCGGGAAGAAGGACGAGAGCGGGGCCACTCACCGGGGCTGCGGGGGTCGCCGCCGCGTCGGGCTCCAACGCCCCGGGGGCCGGCGTGCGCTCCCCGCCGCCACCGCCCCCGGCCGCCGCGGGCCCCCAGTGGCTGGGGCTGGGGCTGGGAGGCAGCCCCGAGTCCGGACTGTCCAGGACGCCGTCGCCCTTCTTCTTCGTGTCCACAAGCTCGGGCACATCCTGCAGGCTCAGCCGGCCCACCATGGCTGTGCGCGCGGCGGGGCCGGGGCTGGGGCTGCGGGCGAGCCAGGCGCGCGAGGGGCGCAGACGCGGGCCGGGGCCACTGCCCGCCCGGCCGCCCTCGCTGCCGGCCGCCCGCGCGCCGTCCGGGTCTCGCCGGCGGTCCGCTCCGGCCCCGCCCCCGCCCCGCCCCGGCCCCGCCCGCCCGGCCCGATCCGCGCGGGCCCAGTCGCGAGGCCGGGCGCCAGGGGGCGCCGCGCTCCCGCCGTGCGCCGCGCTCTTCCCGGCCGCCCAGCCAGCCCCGAGAGGCCGATCCGGGCGCGCTGGGGCCCCAGGCGGGGAAGCCGCTCCTACGCCGTGCGGCTCCCGCCCGGCTACAGGTGAACGCGCGGCTCCGCTCCCACCGGGCCCGGGGTGGCGCCTTGTCCCCTCGCCCTGTCCCGGCAGGGCCGGCAGCCTCTAGTTTCTCGAGCCCTTGGCGGTCGGGGGCAACCAGAGTAGATCCCCGGCCTACAGAGGCCTGGGGAGCTGGCCGAACCCACAGAGCAAACAACTGGAAATTATTAATAGTTAATGTACTTCGTATGGCTCCAGCCGCCTCTTGGCTCAGCAGGGCGGCCTCTCAGTCTGTCTCTGGCTCTCGTTTCTGCCCTGGAGGAAAAGAGGACCTAGTCTTCTTATCCTCAGGGGACTCCCGGGCAGGGGACACAGCACTCCCCGGTCTGGGCACTCAGCTCAATAGGCTGTGGCCACACCGGGCAGGGAAGTTCAGTGGGCACAGACTGGACCTCGAACTAGATGGGCAAGCTCAGCAGGCTGCCTAGGGGCTGTCTGAGGGCCAGGGGCTCCCTGCTGGGGACCACAGCTTCTGGCCTCTTCTCTTAGGGTTTCTATAAGAAGCTCCCAGGTCCTGCTTGGAAAGAGGTTGTCTGGACATGGGGATGATGGGGGTGGGGATTCTTCAACTTCAGCCCCAGCTGGGACCCTCGTTTCATCGGTCATCCAGCACACAGCACCAGATCCCATCTCTGGGCCTTGCTTTCTAAGACCAACAGGTGGGCGCTGCTGCTTCCAGGGATGTCAGCTACCAGACTGGGGGTTCTCCCCTCCTCTTGGGTTTGACAGAGAGGCCCTAGCTCAGTGGAAATCCTTCAGCAGTTGCCAGCTGTAGAGTTGGGCATTTCTCAAATCTAGTAGTTTTTCTTCCAGGAGACCTCCATGATTACCAGTGAGTATAGCAAGTCCCCACCCCACCAGACCCCCAGGCACCCTATCTTGGGGGTTTCTGATGGGTGTTCAGCTAAGGGCCTCAAGCTGGAGCTGTGCCTGACCCAGCCAACCCTGAAGAGAAGTTGTTTCCTGGGCTAGGGGACTTACCTGGCTAGATGAGAGGTGGGCTCTGTGCATGCCCCACAACGGCAGCCCAGTCTATGTCCTGGCAACATCAAAGGGTACTTGTCCTTGTCCTGCTTGGGACCTGCTAAAGTTAGCATTTAGAGCAGGCTGATGTTAGAGATCCGCTGGCAAAGTTCAGCCCTCCTGCCCTCCTCATTCATCATTTTCAGGTAACAGAGAAGGGATTTGACTTGCCCCAGGTCACACAGCTGATACAAGACAAGCTTGCCTTGGATCATCCCCTCCATGGAGAATAGAAACTCTGGCACATGCCTGTGTGCTGGGGGGTCGTGCATTGGTTTAGGACCTGTGGGGATGGATTACGAAGTCAGCAGTGCACAGACCTTGGATCAGTGGTCAGTACGAGGGCATACTGTGAGTAGTGGCTTTTAGAGGCTGGGCCGACTCCGCAGCTGTACCTCCCTACCCCTGAGACCCCACCATTTGCACGTCCCAGGCTGTCCTCCATATGGGGGATCCCAGGACAGGTCAACGGGCTTCTTGGGTTTGTGGAAAGGGTGGTTGGTCTGTTGGCAGTGGTACCTTGGAAGGAATTTGCCTGCCAGCTTTCCCAGGTAGATCCTGAGAACTCTTCCCTAAGCCTGGTCAGGTTGGGAAAGGTGTCCTGGAAGATGGCAGTTGCTCCAGAAGGTAGTAGCCTTCAAGGTCGTCAGCCTGGAGGAGGTGGAGGAGGAGCATGAGGAAGCTCAGTGAGCTAGGCCAGGGCAGCAGCTCGCTGTCAGCATGGGGACTGTTGTGGAGAGCTGGGGGTGGGGCTGCCCCTGGGCCTGCAAAGACCCAGAGTCTGGGGGGAGCCTGGCACTGCCACCTTCTGAGGGAAATCCAGAAGGGCTTATATTACCCACATTCTGACAGGAGATACACAGAGACATTAATGCTGCCAAAGTGAGTGAGGGGTTAGGAAGCTGCCAGCTTTGGGGGGTTCCAGGCAGATCAGAGGGAGGGCCCCCTTCCTCCCTGGCACCAGGCTCATCAAGTAGCTGGCCTGGCATTTCACATGGGTGTCTGGGCTGCCAAATTGGACTCAGGAAGCATCCACTTGCTGACCACCACCCTATGAAAGTTCTGTCTGGTCCCCAAGAATAAGGTCTCTCCAACTCCCGAGGGGCATCCTGGCAAACCTTTTAGAACTCAGGCAGGGCTTCCTGAATCCAGAGGACATCTTCAGGCCTCAGGACAATTGCCACAGAGCTCCTAGAGCTTAAGCTGATTGCCCACCGTGGCCTTCCTTACAGAGGAGTCCAGCGCTGATACACGTCCGAGAAACTAGAGGGACTTGAAGAGCAGCCCAGCCCCGGGACCCAACATTGGTAGGAAAGCAGAGGTTGAGACCATGGTGCACACAGATTCCCCTCAGCCACTCAGGAGCCCCCTCCTTTCCCAGGAAGCTTCACCAAGTCTGACCCTCCATGGCTCCCAGAATTCTGTTGAGCCAATAAAAAAAAGAGGAGGGACCCCAAGTTTGTCCTCTCTTGTCCAGACTGTTTGTAAAGAGCTCAAAGATAAGTCCACGCTAATTGGAAGCTGGTGGGGACCAAGGAGAAGGTGGGGAGCACCTTTGGCCCAGCCCAGACATCCTGCATCTTGCCACTCTCAGCCATGGCTCTCCTGGTGGAGATGAGCAGAGGTGTTCTTACAACAGGAACCATCCAACTGCCCAGGAGTCCTTCTGGGGGGAGAGCAGGGGCCTTTCTTCGCTACTGGATGGGAACCAGGCAGCTCAGCCCCTGGAAGTCAGCTGTATTTCCTCAGCCCTGAGCACTGTGTTCACACTGCAGATCTTCCCTAACCCTTTGGAAGAGCCCACTACCCGGGCTCAGCACTGGCCTACAGCTTATTCCAGGTTGTTTTCTAAAGGATGCTTCTTAAAAAAACTTACACCAAACCGTGGGAAAGACAGCAGATTCCACCTTTACCCACTCCTGGTCTGGCTTTGGATGCACCCTCTTTTGAGGAGCAGCTGAGGTGCACCTAGAAATCAGGTGAGTTACACAAAATGAGACCACAGAGGCTGCGTAAAGCGTGGCCTCTTCTCAGGCTGTCCCTTCAGAGTGGGCCATCGCCCCCCTGCCCGGATCACAGAGGCTGGTATCCTCACAGGACTTGGCTTCTGGCCGGAGGCCTTTCTCAGCAGGGTCTGAGGAACAAAAGCTGCCTAATAATGAATGCCAATCTCGCATTTTCCCTTGTTCTGCACTAAATTAAGCTGATGCCTGAACGGAGTTGAGTCAGACTAGAACAGGGCAGGACCCCCACAATGGCTGCTGCTTATTGTTTTGGAACAGCTTGTCTTCAGTAAATGCAGCCAGACAGCGGATTAAAGCCCTGCTGGCTCCGGCATGCTGGCTCATACCCCGCGCCCATGGCACCACCCGCCGCCGGGCCCCAGTGTTCCAGGATTGGCCATACAGTGGGTTTATCTTAGTGTTGAATCAGAATCCCGCTCCTTCATATGCACTATGTCAACCAAAATGCTTTAAAAGGAAATAGAACTTTATTTTGTTTCCTTAAATATATTAAGATTAAAGTTAGAGTTTTCAAAGAACATTGAGAGGGATCTGCCACATTCAATAAAGAAAGGAACTGCATCAAAAAGCTGTACTTGGACGCAGCACAGCCACAGGCATGTGCACACAGTCACTGGGGAGCCCTGAGCCCCTGGCATTCCTGAGGATGGCATGAGCCAGGTAGCTCTGAGTGGCACCAAAGCTGTGGCTTGGCAATCTCAAAGCAAAGGGAGCCTGAGGGAGCAGGCTGGCTCCTTTTCTGACCTTTCAACTGGGAGACCAGCAGGTCAGGTGGAGAGGCGGGATCTGGCCAAGCCCAGGTGCTGACACTAGCCCAGATACCAAATGCAGCTTGGGGTGGAGTCAGGCCAGGGTCCCCTGTGTGGGGAACCCCACGACCCCAGTCAATTAGAGGCTCCGCCCTCAAGGCCTCTATTTGTAAGCTGAGAGCTATTCTCCCAAACACTCCCTGGTTACACAGAAAAGGGCCGTGGCCTCTGCAAAATAAAACCCAGATGGGATTTTGCAAAGAGCTGGGGCACATGGCTTCCTTGGAACTGCATCAATACACTTGTGCTCCTGGCTCTGTTCTGTGTATTCACACTGGACAAGGACTTGCAGCCCAGAAAAATAGCCCTTAGTTGAGCAATTGAAGTTAAGACCCTTGGCTCCTTGGCTGAAAGGCCTGATAGAAGTGTGTGTCGTCATTGTCCCTGGGGAACACGTGGCTGGCCTGCATGGCCGCACTCCAAAGGCAGCCTCAAGGCTCCCTGGCGTTTCAGGACCCCCCAGGCGCTCCAGTCTGTAGGGGCCGCAGGGGAGGGGGTGGAGAGCAGGCGCCTGCAGGGTGGCCCCTCGGCTCTGCAAGAACAGTCTGAGTTGCTGTGTCTTCCCAGGAGCCGTGGCCCTGACAGTGCCCCTCTCCTGCCCCCATTCAAAGCAGAAGACACAGAGGCCGGAGGTGGCTGTGGTTTGCAGCTATGTACTGTTGAGAACTCCTGATACTTGCTGAAGATATTGATATGCCTTTGAAGATATGTTTTTCAGTTTTGAGTCTTTGCTGAATACTAGTCTGCGGTGAGGGAAGAACTTGGAGTGAGTGGAGAGGCACCAAAGAAAAACTGTGTTCCTCATATTTTCCAGGTCATATTGATGGATGTTACCTGGAATTCTATTGCCTCTTTGCCCTGTGCTCTTTTAGGATGACCCCAACCACTGACAAGTATTTCTGGAAGTCTGTGAAAGTGCCTCTCACATGCTTATAAATAAATCTGGTCATACACATGGGATGCTTGCTGTTGTTTCCTCTTCCTGTCCCCACCACCCCAGCTGCTGGTTCTGTGAGGCTGTGGGACCATGTCCCATGGTGGCCCTCTGACTGGCTGCCTTGCTGAGAGCACCACTGGCTCCCCAAGGCCCCTAGGAGAGGCTGCAGCCCTGCTGCTGTGGGTACCGTCCCTCCACCCCTTGCCAGGCACTGCACAGAACCCCTGGCACTGCTGCCGACACCAGGGGCGGGGGCTGGGCCTGCAGCCCAGGGGCGCCAGAGCTGTGTCGCGTCTGCAGCTGAGTGCCTCTCACCCCTTCTGGTTATGTTTATAGGGTGCTCCTGAAGCAGTGTGGCTTCTTCTATGCCTGCCTCCTGCTTAGGATTTAGACTTGAAACCTGAAGGGCGAGGACAACAGGCAAATAGTAAAAAACAAACAAAACCAAAAAACCCCTTTAAATTCCAAATCCTTCTTCCCTGAGCTAGGCCTATCCTTCTGGCCTCTTCTCTTAGGGTTTCTATAAGAAGCTCCCAGGTCCTGCTTGGAAAGAGGTTGTCTGGATATGGGGATGATGGGGGTGGGGATTCTTCAACTTCAGCCCCAGCTGGGACCCTCGCTTCATCGGTCATCCAGCATACAGCACCAGATCCCATCTCAGGGCCTTGCTTTCTAAGACCAACAGATGGGCGCTGCTGCTTCCAGGATGTCAGCTACCTTCCTTAGCATCAGGATTTCCCTCACACTTAAGCAGGTTTCTCTTATACGGGGGCTCAACTCAGAGTGGTGGGGTTCTGGATTCTTCTCAGTGACCTTCCAGTCTCTGAACCAAGTCATATTCCCTCTAGTTTTTCCTTTCCTACCTGCTGATCAAAATCCTCTTTTTTTTTAATGGGAAAAAAGTGTTTATGTGAAGGTGCACTGTCACTAAGATCTAGTGTGGACTGTATGCAAAGTTCTCTAGAATTCTGGCTCTTAAAGTTTAAAGATACACTTTTAGAATATGGAACACCAACAAAACACAACACTATTCCAACACTCTTGCTTTGACAGCCAACACAAAAGTCTATATAGTTCAGGAGCTAAGAACTGCAGCTATAAACTCTCTATCCACTCCCACCCGAGGCCATTGCAGACAGGATGCCCTGCTGGAGTTGCGGGGTCGGGAGCCAGGGTGTAGAGGGAAAGAATAGGAAAGATGCCCAATTTCATATCAAACTATTACCTCTCTACATATACAAAGGATAACCATTGCTTTCATGAGCGAACCGACAAAGCTGGAGGAGCCCTGACAGTGAAGGAAGCCACAGTTCTTTTGCTTAATGAGGAAGCTTTCTTGCAGCAAGACACAGCACTGGTTGGGCCACATTTGGTTTTGTGCAATGAAAACCAAAAGGAAACCTCTGCTTACTGGCTTTCTACAGAGGGCCTGCAACTACATCCTCTAGATCAAGAGGCAGGAAAAAACACTGAGGGCGAATGAGGATGTGGAAAAACTAGCGAGGGAGCATGCAGCAAAGTGATCTTGGCAGGCAATACTTTGACCAGGGTTGGCAATGTTTTAAATGTGCATGTCCTTTAATCTCTGTAAATGGGAATGAAACAGTTTTAGGAGAGGATCCTACAGAGGTGGTAACAAGTAAGCAAAGATATCTACAGAAATATAAAAAATTAAACCACCTGTTTGTACATTGCTAAGGGACTGTTAACAGTGGTATATCTGAATTATAAAATATCCTGTAGCTATTAAAAAGAATGAGTAGATCTATATACATGCTGAGGAAAAAGTTGTCTAAGATATATTGTTACACTGCAGAAAAAATATATAAATATGCTTAATATTGATTTTTTTTGCAAAGTGCCCCTCCCCTCACAGTAGACACAGAGAAAATCTAGGAGAGTAGAACCTTTGACAATTTCTATATTGTTTTAACTTATCAAGATGAATACTGGTCTTGCACTTTGAAAACAAGTATTACTATTGCAATATTTTCTAATGTAAAGAAAATTGACAGTGCTGGCAATACTCAGAACCATTGTATTACTAGTTAGGAATGGGAGGAGACCCAGTGGAGGGGGGCTTACACCAGCTCCTTCTGACAAAACTTCAGAGAACTCAGTGGCAGAGCCAGGAGACCGCAGAGAGGGGCTTCCACAGGCTGAACACTGCCACCCACTCACCCCCCCGCCCCAGGCCTCACTGGAACTGAGTCTTCATTTGTTGAGGGAAGTTAGATTTTCTCTCGATTAATAATTAAGAAAATGTTTTATGATAAACTAACCATAATGGTCAACAAGGGAGCTGTCAAAGGTGACTGATGCTAAGGCTTTGAGATGGAGGAACCAGGAAAGGAAGGTGGTACCATTTAGAGTTGGGGATTCCAGGAAAAGAGTGGAGTTGGAGTGTACCTGGAGATGTTACCCACGGCCGGCGGAACGGCTCGCAAACAGACAGGAAGGACAGGGACTGATAACCTGGCGCATCTCAGAAGGCACGGCTGGTGTTCACACCTGTCATGGATAGATAATGTTCTCCAGGGCATCTGGGGTGAGAACCATGGGGGCCCAAGACCCTGAGCTTGACCATGGCTGAGGCTCAGAAGGACAGAGGAGGAGGAGGAGGATCAGGGGAGGAGACCAGGAAGTGCTGGAGCCAGGCATCAAAGTAAGGCAGCAAATTCAGAGGGAATTCCTGGGGGAGGGGAGGACTCATCACATAAATGGAAAGTGCAAAGAGAACGGAAGTTCAGCGAGATCCATCAGTGAGCCTCGAGAGAAGTTTCTGGAAAGTATTGACATGGATACTGCATAAGAGAGAATGCAGGTGGGGGACCAGGCTGTGGCTATAGTCTTTTGTTTTAAATGGTAACAAAAGTAACAGAAGAAGTTGTGGTGGAGAGGGCGGTGGGATGGAGGAAAGTGGAGACCCCTGTTCACTTCTGCAGGCAGAGTGGGAAAGCGCCGAGGAAGCCAGCCGGAAGGAGGCTGGACTCCAGGGAAGGACAGCCAGGGGAAGGGTATGGCAAGTTGAAAGTGGGGCGAAGTGGACGTACAAGGGTGGCTTAGATTTTCCCATTCTTCTTTCACAGTGGGGGATAAGCAAGTGACTGAGACTCTTGGAGCCTCCGTTTCCCATCTGCAAAATGAGGGAATTTGACTGAAGCTCTAAAAACAAACTGACATACCACCAAACACTGATGCTCCAATTCAGAGCTTCCCAACTAGACACCTGGGCCCCACCAGAGTGCAGGGTGGATGCCTCGCTGATCCCCTTAGCCTGGAGGCGGTGTGGGCCGTGATGTGGACGCAGCTGCAGACCTGGGCCTGGGCCTCTAGTCCGGCAGCCTCTTCAATTGATTTGCTCAAGTGTGAGGCAATGGAGCCCAAATGTTCCACTTGTGTTCTGAGTCCTGGGAAGTCTGGGAAGCATTGCACACACAGACATACGAGGCTTCAGGTGTTAAGATTTGGAGCTTGTGGAAGTTTTGAAAGAAGAGTGGGCTTCCTTTCAAATGTTGCCTAAGCCCCCTCCTCCCATTTCCATTGTACCGTTTTGTTCTTAGAACACAGCTGCCTTGCACCAGGGTTTCCTTGCTTTCTGACATCCTTCCTAAAGGCAGCAAGGCTCCACCCAGGACGTGGCCTCCAGGGTTACCAGTGCAGAATTTGGGTGACAGTTCAGGAGTGTGGTTGAGTGGGTGTGAACTTCAAATGAAGTGGTGCTCTTTCCTGTATGAAGGAGACACTGCCGAGCCTCCCAGCCTTCCAAGGCCGGAGACAGCCTGTGCAGCAGCTCTTAATGGGAGTACTAGCTTCCACACTGACTTCTGGGCAAACCTGGACTTCTTCAGAGTTGCTTTGGTGGGCGAAGGAGCACCACAAAGGTCAAACTTCCCTTTAAGAATGCGTACTTAATACCTATTAAAAAAACGGAACGTTCAAAACTGTCATCACACAACATGCTTCCTCAGATGTCCCAGGCGCACACAGACCGTCTGTGTGCTAACCTGGGCTGCCAGGGCTGCTCAAATCCACGTAGGCCTTGAAAGCCCACATAGACAAAATGTCCTTGTCACGTCTGTGTAATTGAAGAGTATCTGGGATTGAAGGGGGTTTGTTTAAAGCAATACAAAATGAAACTGACGTTCTTTGCAAATTCTTAGCTGGATTAAATCAAGGTTTCTCTATTCTGTGTAATCAAAGCAAAACACAGAAATAAACTGGATGCTGAGGCTGATATATAGAAATTGTCATGCATAATCTTGGCCTTAAAAATGCTTTCTATTTGGAAATAATTTCAGTGTTTGGAATAATCTGGAATAATTTCAATGTTTGCACTGATGCGCTTTGAGAGATTGCTGAACTCTTAAGATGTATTACTAAAATACTTTTACCTGTTTTGTAGAGTCCCATGTAAAGTGTGTGTCATAAACTTGAAAACCGCTGGTGTATTGCAGAGCTGGGATGATGGAACGAGACTCAGCCAAATCCTAGCTCTGCCACTTAACCAGCCACATAGCCTTTGGCGTGTCACTGCCCTTCAGACCTCCAGGTCCACATCCACAAAATGGAGCTAATCAGGCCTACTTAACAGGGATTTTGATTGGATTAGGTGTCATATTGAGGATGAAGTACTAATTGCTTCTCTCCCCCTGCCCACCTGACCAAAGTGTACAGATAGCATTGAATAGCCCAGATCTCCCAGTCCCCTTCATGCTCAAACATACTATCTGCATGCTAGACCGGAGCTGGGTTGCCACTAAGGCCCACGGCTAAACCAGCTGGGGCCCTAACTCCCAGCAGCATGTCCTCCTCGGACAATCCAGCCAGCCAGCTGCAGGGCCAACCTGGGGTCCGTTTGGAGCTGTGCAAGGGGTGTAACGGGCATGGGCATGAGGTTGTGGGGTGTCTGTGCAGGAACTCATGTTTTCTTACATGGCTGTTACTCTCCATTTGCCTGCTCATGCCCCTCAGTGGCTGCCCTGTCACAGTACGATACACTTCGTGGAGGCCTCTGTGGACTGCGGTCCGGGGGCAGCTGGCTCGCCTCCCCTCCCATTGAGTGGTGCCTTCCTCTCCCAACAGCATAGAGCCAACAAGCTGAAGAAGCTAGAGTTTCTCGCAGCACTTTCACCTGGCACCCCTGAAAGCTGTGGCCTACTTTGCAAATATTTTTCTTGGCCCCAGAAGTCAAGGGAAGTTTGAAAAGCTGTTTTTAAAGACTCATTTGTTGAAGAATTACCCTAGGCACAACCATTGCACGAATCCTACTTGCTTACTGAGCAAGCAGAAGCTACCACAGCCTTTAGGGTAAGTGATAAGCAGTCCTGGAGTTGAAGAACTGAACTTGTTTTCACTTTAACATCAGTTTATGACCCACCATTTCCAGAGGGACTGAAAGAGCCAGATAGGTCCTCTTCAGCTGATTCAGGGATTCAGCTGCCTTGGGGAAGGTCTAAACTTCTTGGAAAGGCAAATGTAAAGTAATTCAAATAGTGGGTGAATGTCTGGCTAACCAGGTAGGACCGCCTGACCCAAGATAATCTTGCTTAGAACTTTTTGGGCGTTGTAAATAAAAAAAAAAAAAAGTGCAGGCAAGAATTTTGCCCCCATCAGGCATGGCCAGTTGAAGTCTGGTCTGTGGACACCAGACACCGTATCTAAAGAATTTTTTTTGGAAGGAAGTTTTTGGCAACCCTCCTAGTTTGCATTCAGAGGAAATGGGCTGCATTTCCCACATCAGGCAGTGCAGCCAGCAGCGCCAGGGGGAAGCTGTCTTCTCAGTGTCTGCACATTTATCCCTAGTGCTATAGGAACTGCAGCTGCCGGGGCCGGGGAAGAGGGGATGAAGAGTCTTTGCAAATTGTTGAAGAAGCTGGCTGGACAAGCATGACCTAAAAAGGCAAAGACTAGACACTCCAATGCTTGTTTCTAAGGCAGCCTGCACACAGCAGTGGGGAGTGGTGGGGGTCGTCATTTGCCCAATCTATGCAACTTAGGCCCTGGGAGAACAAGCCCTAGGCCACCCTCCAATCCAGTCAGGCCAGCCACAGCCTGAGCACACCACCTGGTCTCCTGCACCCTTCACAGCCCTGTTAATTATTACTTGTTTTCACAGATACTGAAAGCTGAGGCTCAGAGGATCAGTGATTCACCCAGTGTCAAAGTGCCAGCACCAGGCCTGGAGACCAGGTCTTCTGCAGCAGTTTACAATTCCAGGCTTTGGTTTCAAATGGACACAATCTTCATATCCGGCTGGTTACCAGTACCTTCCTTGTCTGGTTATGTAGGTAAGGAGGAGGAGAATCTGGCAGGTAAATCACCTTGCACTGCTCTTCTAGGTGAGTTATGTTTTTTTTCCTTCTCAGATTGATCTCTGGCCACCCCAAAGTGGGATGCTGGTAAAAATAAGGAATGGAAACTAGGTAATGATCTCGAAGCCAACCTAATGGAAGTACTGCGACAGACTTTTCCACTGCTGAGAGAGACATCAGACTTCCCAAAAAGTTCACTGCAAAATGCCGACCCAGCTATTAAGGAAACAGGATTAACCTAACTGTGTAGAGGAGAAAAACCATTAGGCAGTCACATGGAAAGAAAAGCAGGCTGTGACTGGAATGGTAAGGTGGGGAAAGTCAACAGGATAGAAATTGAGAGCGCAAATCAGAAGCAACACTTTATGTGTATTTACATAGAGGGCCTCCACCCCAGGTGGACATGCCAGGACTGTGCTGATGAGCAGCACGTGCTATTTTTGGGTGCCGCTTCCTTAGGCCGCCAGGGAATGGGGCACGTGTTCACCAGGGAAAAGGGCAGACCCTGATAGGGGAGCCCAGGTTCACAGGCTTGCTAATTCTTTCCTACAGTCTGTTCTGTTTTCTGTCAACAGTAAGGAAATACATCCTAGCAAATGACATGCAGTAATGCTTTAATTAACTGTAGTATTTTATGCTCCAATATGCACCAAGAAATCACTTCCAGATGGGGAAAATAAAAGATATTTACACAAAAAAGCAATCCCTTTAAGGAAATCTGTATCTCCCTAAGGTATAGAACTTTGAGGGTCCTGGAGAGTATCTATTTTGATAAATACTAGAATGAGACTGGAAATTTTTATTTACTATATAATATGCAACAGCACTCTTTATGCATGCCAGCTTTTCATATGTCCATGTTTCCAAGGCTATTGGTTAAATGGCCCAATGGCAGTCCTAGTGATTTTATTTTTAGCAGTCTGACTTGGAGTAGACAAGAAGTGTGAAACACTTGCTTTCACCCTCAAGCAAGCTAGTTATTTTGGAGACTTCTCTTCCTGGGGAGAGAAATTACATTTCCGGCTGTGAACTTCTGGCATTTCTCCTAGCATTTCCTAAAAAGGGAACTTTCTTGTCCAATGGCAATTCAGGATGGGCCGGTGTGACATCCCCCATCTCAGGGAGCAGCCCTGGATCTGCCTGTTTACCCAGCTTGCCCCAGACTGTCTTTGGCAATCTGCCATCAGTCCTGTCTGACCTGCTCTAATGAGCCACCAGAGGCATGAGGAAGTAGGCATTCTCTTTTGGGTGGCGGGCAAAGTCCTAGGCACTGGTTCCTTTCAAGAGAGGGAGGCATGGCAACAGGTAGCTTCAATTCTGGCACTGAACTGGGAGGTCAAAACACCCTGTCCACTGCGGTTATCGTTTCACTGTCATGATCCAAATGGAACTTGCTCCAGCCTGTGTACCTCTAAGGCATCTATTAGGAAGTGTGTCCATAATAAAAGCAGCAGTGAACTCCTTATCAATTATAAATTACCAATATTTATTTTTAACCACAATATTTTAACCACTCAAAATTGTTTTTTTTTTAAAGGGGCTAGGGAAAGTGGGGGAAGGAACAGGTACAATATCTAACTTAGCTGAATAACACAGTTCTTAGGTATTGTTTTTATCAATGAGTGCTCCTTTATAAACGTTATTTCGAAGTGACAATAATAAATAAACTTTCTGTTTGGGGCTTGGTCATCAAAACAGGAAGAATCCTAGTTAGTATGGGGACAGCATTATTTCTGGCATGGTCCCTACCACCCATGCAAGTTTAAAATTAAAACTGCTGGCTACCAGGAAAGAATCTTTACCATGTTAGTACCAGTTTATTGTACAGTAACTACACTTGCTTAGAGAGCCAGAAAAAGTATATATTTATGGAAATGTAGTATAGGAGCCCTTCAGTAAAACAAATTTCTCTCTACTGCAATGTTACAAGCAGTAAACATCATAATCACCTATGGGACTTCTAACTCTATATGCGGGGCCCTACTCCAGACGTACCGATTCCGAATCTCCAGGCATCTGTCCTTGTAAAAGGACCCCAGGTGGTTCCAATGCATACCCCCAGTTGAGAAACATTCTCTGTCTTTACAAGATGCATACACAGCATTCAGACCCCATCAATGAAACATTTAACATAACTCCTACTGACATCTGTTGGCTCCTTGGAGATTAATGACAATGCAATAAATCAAGAAAGCAACTTCCCTGGCTGTGACCACCAACTGGGGGAAAACAGCAGCCTGACATCTCAATGCCATTACAGGGATGTCCAGAAAATGACTCAGGAACAATCCAAAAAGGGAAGCATGGATCTGTAAACACAGAGTGAAGAGAACCAGGTGCAAGAGTGGCTTTCCTGGCTCTGCAGGTCAATGGCTGCTGACTGAAGAGGCTGTGCTGTTCTGAGGTGGGCCCACCACCCCTCCTTTCAAGAGCAGGAAGAGAATGTTAACCCCATCGGTGCAGACTGTGTATGGGGAAAGTGCAATCTACCTGCTGAGCTGCCCAGGTCCTCCCCCAAGGCTCTCCCCCCCTGCCTGTCCTGCTCTTGCTGAACAGTCTTGCCCTAAGAGAGCTCAGCTACGGCCGCACACCTCTGTCTTCCACCACTTACTTTCTTCTCGGTGTCCTCCAGTTGAGATGCTCAATGCATAAGGGGCACACTAACAAGAACAGGCTGGAGGTTGATGAAGAAATGAGGCCCAGGATCGAAGCTGGGGCTGACAGACTGAGTCTGGGAGAGGCTGATGGAGAGGGAAAGGGAATAGGGCAGAATGGTTATACTGGAAACCAAGAAGGGGAGAAATAACCACTTTCTGGTCAGAGTTTCAAATCCTGAAGTTTGGATTTTCAGGAAACCTTCTCTACCCCGAATACTCATCTTGAGTGCTATTTGATATCCTGAGGCCTGTTATGCACATTCTCTGTAAAGAGCTTCACCCTCCTGCTGAGCTCTCCCCCGACCTCGCCAACAAATTGCTCATAATCCCCGAATGAATGCTGACACTAACAGCAGCTCCCTGAGGCCATGGTCACGGTTAACTGAGGCGTGGTTTCCAGTGAACCAGGCAAATACGGGCAACTACCTGGTGTGTTGCATGTTCGCATTCTGTAGGATGATGTGTGGGGACGGAAGCAGTTCTGTGAGGCAATTCTTGTCTGCAAAGCCTGGCTGGCCGGGCACCAGTGGTGACAGGGCGGGCAGGCCAGGGGTCAGGTGCGTTCTGGGCTGTGCCAAGTTCTGAGCACCTCTTTAGGTCAATATTTTGTTTCTAAGGTCTGGGTCCTTTTTCAGTAGTAATAAAGCAGTATGTAGCTCTGGCACTACAAACCACCTCTGTTGTTTCAGATGACTGTGGAAAGTACTTTGGATTTGAAAATGAATGGGTAGGAAGGGGATGAGGGTTTAGGCCTCCTGGGCTGCCCCACAGCTTCATTTGAGGAGAAAGTCCAGCAAACTTTTTCTAGGAAAACTTCCTGGTTTCTCTTCACGAAGGCAATCCCTCCCCTAGAAGTCAGGAGCACACTGGGAATAAAGAAATGGAAAGAATAATCTGCTTCCATCATACAGTCAGTGTGGCAGGCAGAACCCTCTCTCCAAGGCAGATACAGGTCTGCACTCACACCCAGGCCAGGAACCCTATGGCAGAGGGGACACCTGCTTCCAAGGCCTGGCACATGCAGTCCTCCTGGCAGACAGACACAGAGGGAAGCTCTCCTGAGGATGCATACAGAGAGGGATTGGAGATGCCTGACAAAGGGGAGAACACTGGGGTATCTTGGCCAAGTAGTAAAATGTACCAGAAGCAAAACATGTATCGGGAGAGTGGCATTTACACAGAAGAGTGCTCCTGCTTCCACTGCCTTCATAAGGAAAGGCTAGTGTCTGATACCTGCTGTCTGTCCCTTCATTCATCTGCGCCTCAAAGAGTGAGGAGAACAACTCTTAGGGTCTGGCTGCAGAGGGGACCTCAAACGGCAGCAGATGGAGGAAGGGGTGAGATCCAGGCTTTCTCAGCAAGGTGCCTGGGTAGGCACACAGCAGGGAATAGGGCCTCGTGCCACAGGGTGCAGTGTGGCAGTGAGACGACAGTCAGTGACAAGTGGGCCAGATGAAAGCAGCCTGAAAGCAGAGGGCGAACAGGCCTTTCACCCTCTGCCACTGGAATCAGAGGTCATTTAACTTGCTTTTTTATCACCTGGCCCTTATTCGGCTTCTCTGATTAGGACAAGAGTTAAGACAGGTTACAGGAGAGACACATCAACAATCCAAACATCCCAGGAAGTTTCAAGACTGATGATCGGAGAGTTGGAGAAGCACAGGAGAGGTGGGGGGCTTCCTGGCAGCAGGGTGCTGAGGGTCACCGGCCAGGAGAAACCATGCCCCCTGAATGCTCCTACAGTCTCTTTTTGATTAGTTTCTCTAGTTTGTGGATGCGAGATGATTCCTGCTCTGGTGTCGGAGCCAGCAGGGACAGCGAGCTGGAGCCTTCCGGCCCTGCGGGCGGGGTGGGGAGCCTCTGGCGGAAGAGATCCAGCATGCTGCTCTGCTCGCTTCTCTTCAGCCCCTGATGTTGGAAGAGAGAGGAGGATAAACGAAGTCTGGCCCCAGAAAAGTCTGGAAAGTGCAGTTTCTGGAAGGCTGTGAGTCAAGGCTCTGCAAACAGCATAATTACTCTAGGCTGAGGATTAACACTTTCTTTAAGGGAGTTACCAGCCTTGGGTAGTGGCCAGAAGAAAAGCAGAGGAAGAAAAAAAGGTAAAAGGATAGGAGGAAAGAAGAGGCTGAGAGAGAAGAGGGTGGGGAGGGGCAACACCCTTCATTCCACTCTGTACCCCCACCCTCTGCTGAGCAGTGGCTCTCTGTTGGACCTGGAGGTGCCACCAGAATCAGGAAGTTCAAAGGCCCAGGACTCTCCTCTTCAAAGGCCAGGACTTCTTGAATCTGCTTTGCTACATGCAGCCACCACCCGGCAGTCTGGAACCTCTGAGTGTGAGAAGGATGTACAGGTGCACACAAAACAAGACATGGAGCTAACCTTCATGTCCAGTATCTTCTGGAAGGTTTCTGTGTTGCAGTCCGAAAGGAGTTTGATGTAGTTGTCAACAAACACCACCAACGGTTCATGAGGGGCCATCACTACCTACCATGGGAGAGAGACAAAAGCAGGTCCTCAGGGAAAACTCACGATTGGAGGCCAGGGAATCATCTTTTCTCACAGGAAGCTGACCACAAAATGGATTCTGCAAGACTTCCTTAAGTGGCAGCAAGCCTAAACTGAGAAATGTCCCAATGACATTTTTCATCACGAAATTAAATCATAGCAGTGTTTCCTAAATTTGCTAAATCATAGGTATGACCTGGATTGCTTTTTAAGTACAGATTCCTACATCCCTCCCCTGAATATTCTACATCTAAATCAGGTGGGGTCCCAGGTGATTTGTTAATTATCTGGACCATTTGGGAAGCACTGTATTAGAGGGTCTCATACTGAGACATTTCATTGGCTGTGGTACTGCTCCTTCTGTCTTGATATATCAGTATTACTGAGGAATAGGCAGCAAAAGGCACTGATTTAAGTGGGTTTTCTCAAAAACAAAAGTCCCAATACCTTACTCTTTTCAAGACTTTAAAATCTGGAACTCCATTTAACTACATTCATTTAACTACCAATTAATATACAAACAGAAGGAAAGCAATGGCCCTGCATCTTCAAATTCATTTCCATTTGGCTTTGAATGCAGACTGAATCCCTTGGCCGCCTAATTCCTGCGAATGTGCCACAGAACAGCAGGGAGTGGTTCCCTCTGAAGCTCTCTGCAGGTAATTCCCGCACTGCATACTTGCCTCCCTGTGGGCTGTCCTTTGGGACTGGTGGGGATAGGCCCCAACCTGTGCTCTTACAACCAGCACTCCTTGGGGTAAGAGATCAGAGAGCCAGCCCCTTTTAGGAGAAACCCTGAGGGAGACACAACCAGCCAGCGACAGAGCTGATCAGGCTGCTTCCAGTGTCCTCAGGCAGCCGGCTCAAGGTCTGTAGCACCCTCACTGGGTCCCACTGATGTGCCTGGTCCCACCACTATTTTTCCCTCCTGCCATCGTTCGAGTCATTTTGTTTGAGAGACAGACCTGAATTCAGTGCCTGGCAAGCCCCAGACTTTAAGAGCATTCTGTGATAGCTCCATTAGTTTTCTGGCCTCTCCCTCTCCCAGAAGGCCCCTTCTCTTCTCACAAGTACAGGTGGAAATCAGATGCAGGTGCTCAAGGCCTCAGACATTCTCAGCGTCATTACCCTACATATAATGTTTTGTTTAATGGGGCTTTGGGAAACCTATTCTCTGATTAGACTCAGTTACTGCAACATCTGTTTGGAGTTCTTGTCAAGATGTAGAGTATATAAAGCCAAGAGGCTTATATGGAAGGGAGTAACAGATAGCGGGGCTGGAAATTCCTGCTGAGCAGTAGAGATTGCTGCCTTAGACACTGATTCATGGTAACAACCCCACCTAACTTCCAGTCTTAGCTGAATCTTATTGCCAGAGAATCCCATTACAATGAAGAATTCATTTGTCAGAAAGAACTACTGACCCCAAGTAACTGTCCACTGTGTTTCAACAATATCTGGTGAGGCCAAAATCTCATCCAGCCACAAAATGTGGACCATCCTTTGGGACTGGTGGGGATAGGCCCTAACCTGAGCTTTTATAACCAGCATCCCTGGAATAAGAGATCAGAGAGCCAGCACCTTTCAACAGAAACCCTGAGGGATACCCAAGGTGCCCTACCTTAAGGATCATCTCTGCCCGGGTCATGCCCTTCACGACAATCTTAGTGTAACTGGCAGGTGCCTTCCGCACCACCTGTGAGCCGATGGAAGGCAGATCAAGCAGGACCATCTTCAGAGAGTGTGTGTCCAGCAGCAACTGTGGGAGCAGAGCAGAATATCACTAGCCTCTCCACATGGACACAGCACCTTGCATCCCATGCTGAGTAATAACATTTTCCTGATTTTCAATGTCATACTTTCTCACTGGAGAAAATTTAGAAAATAAACATAAATATAAAAGGAAAAATATTAGTTATAAATCAATTACCCAGCACAAAATAACAAAAAGCCACAGTTAAATGTGGTATAATTCCCTTGAAAGTTTCTGGGAGAGTAGATTTTAAATGTTCTCACCACAAAAAAGAAATGGTAATTGTGTGACAGGATAGAGGTGTTAGCTAACTCTGTGGTTGTGACCCTTTTGTAATATATAGATGTATCAAATTAACACACTGTATACCCCACAGTTATGCAATGTTATGTATGAATTACATCTCAATGAAGCTGGAAAAAAATGTGGCATAATTCTTGCCAGTCTATGTGTGCATAAAAAACTAGATTTATACTGTATATATAGTTTTATAACCTGGCTTTCCCACTTAATAAAGTTTTTTGTATTCTATTTGCCCATCTTGGCAGTCTTAAAAAAAAATCATGATTTTCTAATGGCTATACATACTCTACAGTATGTGTGTGTGTACAAGTTTAACATATTTAACCATTCCTCTTATAATTTGTTTCTAGGTCTTTATTATTATAAATAATGAAAGCTGCGGTGAACAGCTTTGTACATATTAATTCTAGGTCTATGACTGGCATTTCCTTAGAAGAGTCTCTGGGACAGATCAAAGGATAAGGACGTTTTTAAGGTTCTTGATACATATCTTGAACTGCTTTCCAAATAGGATGTATTTCTATTTTGTAAATATGTATGTATCAACATTATCTGTCAGCAGTGCAGACTGTACCCACATTGGCATTGAAAACTGTCATAAAAATCTTGCTAATTCAACAGGTATAAAAATGGTAACAATATTGCTGCATTCTGAATTTCTTTGGAGGTCAATGACAATGTAGGAGATTAAACCAAATTTAGACATAAGTATCTTGGCAACAATCTACCTTTTTCTTCTTCCTTTTTTTTTTTGTTCTCTTGCATGCCAATTATTTGGAAGGACATCAGCTTTTCTGACTGCCAAGAATGATGCTAGCAATGTGTCACCTCAGTCTCTACAAGACTCTGCCCTGGAGGTATTTACTGTTCCCATTTTATAGATGAGAAAATCCAAGTTCCAGTGGTTAAATAACTTACTGAAAGTATCTCACACAACGGACAGGGGTTAGATGATAAGATGGGCAGGAAGCTGTATTTCCACTTCCTGCTGTCCAGGTATGTGTCAAGGGCAGTTCTGGCTTAGAGCTCACTCTGTTTCCTGCTAACTCCACCTGTACTACTAACCTGCTGCTGCTCCTGGCGACTAGGTGGCACAGGAAAAGCGGAAGCCTAGAAGGGTGCCTATACTCTGGCCAGTTCAGACAGTTTAGGAGAATGGAATCACATGCCCACCAACCAAGGCAGCAGTGGGTGACAGTCCCGCTGCTGCCACCATTATGACTCTAATGGTCAATCTGTGTTCAGGACAAGGCTTGCTCTATCTGCCACTGCCTGCTCCTCTTGGAAAGCAGGGATGGAATGGATGCCTTTGGGCCCCATGACATTGCATTCTCCCTTCTCCCTATCGTTTGGTATGGGCAGAAGAATTAATGACCAAAATAAGAAATACCCATTAATGAGAGATACTATTAACTTAATGGTCATGGTGATTATAACTGTGACAATGGTATAAAAATTTGGAGAAGACATCAATGTTTTATTTGGAATAACTTAGATGGAAATGCTACTTTCAAAAAATTGTGAGGTATCAACAAACTGATTCTAAAGTTTATATGGAGAAGCAAAAGACCCAGAATAGACAACACATTATTGAAGGACAAGAAAAAGTTGGAGGACTTGACACCACACAACTTCAAGACTTATTATAAATTATAGTAATCAAGACAGTGTAGTATTGGTGAAAGACTAGACAAATAGATCAGCAGAGCAGAATACAGTGCCCAGAAATAGATCCACATAAAGTCAACTGATCTTCCAGGAGCAAAGGCAATCCAATGGAGCAAAGACAGTCTTTCAACAAGTCATGCTGGAACAACGGGGCAGCAACATACAAAGAAAATGAATCTAGATTCAGACCTTACACTCTTCACAAAAATTAATTCCAAATGGATCACAGACCTAAATGTAAAATGTAAAATTCCTAGAAAATAATATAGGACAAAACCTAGATGACCTTGAGTATGGTGATGAGTTTTTAGATACAACACCAAAAACATGATCCATGAAAGAAATAACTGATGAGCTGGACTTCATTAAAACAAAAAGCTTCTGTTCTGTAAGAGAAAATGTCAAGGGAATGAGAAGATAAACCACAGACTCAGGGAAAATACTTGCAAGAGACACATCTGATATATAAAATATTATCAGGATGTAACAGGACTATTATCTAAAATATTATATATACAAAGAACTCTTGAAATTCAACAATAAGAAAACAAACAATCCAATTAAAACATGAGCCAAAGACCAAAACAAACACCTCACCAAAGAAGATATACAGATGACAAATAAACATATGAAAATATGCTCCACATCATAGGTCTTAGGGGAATGCACATTAAAACAACAAGATATCACCATACCTCTATTAGAATGGCCAAAATCTGGAGCATTGACACCACCAAATGTTGATGAGGATCTGGAGCAATAGGAACTCTCATTCATTGCTGGTGGAAATGCGAAATGGTATAGCCACTTTGGAAGCCAGTTTGGTGGTCTCTTATAAAACTAAACATATTCCTATCACATTATCCAGCAACTGTACTCCTAGGTATTTACCCAAAGGGTTCACAACATATGCCCATATAAAAACCTGCACAATGATGTTTATAGCATCTTTATTAATAATTGCCCAAACTTGGAAGCAACCAAGATATTCTTAAGTAGCTGAATGAATAAACTGTGGTACATCTAAACAATGGCATATCATGCAGTGCTAAAAAGAAATGAGCTATCAAGCTATGAAAAGACATAGAGAAACTTTAAATGCATATCACTAAGTGAACAAAGTAAATCTGAAAAGGCTACACACTGTATTATTCAACAAATGCCATCTGGAAAAGGCAAAATTATGGAGACAATAAGATCAGTGGTTGCCAGGGGTGCAGGGCAGGTGGTGGGATGAATAGGTGGAGCATAGAGGATTTTTAGGGGGATGAAACTACTCTGTATGATGTATAATGGTGGACACATGTCATTATACATTTGTCCAAAACGTAAGACCAAGAGTGAACTGTAAATTATAGACTTTGAGTGATAATGACCTGTCAATGTAGGCTCATTAACAGTAATAAATATGCCTCTCTGGTTGGGGATGTTGATAATGGGAGAGGCAAAGCTGTTGACGGGCTGGAGGCGTATATGGGAATTTTTTGAACCTGCCCCTCAAGTTAAGGTTGGGAACATTAAACTGCTCTAAAAAAAAACAAAGCCTTAATTTTTATAAAATGGTGAGGAAGCTACACAAAGCTACACTAAATGCAGTGATGTGGCTCGTCAAAACTCTGTAAGTCATTCAACTGCAGAACAAGAAAATGCTAGGTCATTTGGAGTTTTCTAGATTTCCAGAGATTAAAAATTCTTACTCTCCTAAGTATTTGTTTTTTGAAAAGGCCAAGGGCTCACAGAGAAAGGTACCCGAGCATGCAGAGAAAAGAGGAGCATAGGCTGCCTGAGGCTCGTCTGCAGAGATGGGCGTCAGAACCATTCACAAAGCCCCACTGGAAAGGATCATTGCTCTTTCTCAGAGGGAACCCAAGACTTGTCTCTAAAGAACAAGTATGCTAAATTCCAGGTAGATTAAAAATCTAGATATAGAAATAAAAATTTTAAGAAGAAAACAGAGATTATTTTTATTACTCATGGGTAGAGAAGAATGTGAAACACAGGGAAGATTGAAGTATCTACTACTTTAAAATAAAATAAGGCTGTATCAAAAGATACAAAAACAAAGTAAAAATGCAGAAACCAGGAGAGGATATCTGCAGTACTAGCAAAAGAATAATATTTAGAACACATCATGATTCCTACAAATCCAGAAGAAAAAGACAACCACAAAGCGGCAAAACAAATGGAACAGGCAATTAGCAAAAGGAGAAACTCAGGTGCTCACAAGGCATGCGAAATGGTACTTAACCTTATTAGTAATCCAGTAAATGCAAATGAAAGCTACAACTGTATTCCATTTCATATTCATCACATAGGCAAAAGTAAGGAGGTTGATAATGCCAAGTGACAGCATAGATATGGTGCAGTGAAATTTACACTTAATGGTGAGCAACAGAAATTAGAGCACTTGGAGGAAGATTTAGTAATATCTTCTTACTTGAAGATGCACATAACCTATAACGCAGCACTTGTGCTTATATCCTTTACAGAAATTCTTGCCCATGTAAAAAATGTTCCCTGAATCCACTGTTTGCAAAAGACTAGAAACAACCCAAATGCCCATCAATAGAAGAATGGATGAACAAATGGTGGCATATTCATGCAACAGAATATGATACTGAGGTTAAAATGAAGTCAAACAACATATCAACATGGATAATTCTCAAAAACATTATGTTGGGCAAAAAAAGCAAGTGGGGAAATGATATGTATAGCACCATTTATATATGTAAATTTATAGTTTATAAATTTACCATCATCATTTATAAAGTTTCAAAGTATGCAAAACAAAATTATGTATCATTTGTAAATACATACACATAACATATCAAAATATATATGGGAATGATAAAAATCAGAAGAGTGAGGATCAAAGCCTAATTTGGCTACCCAGAAAATGAACTAAGATACGATATGAAGAAGAACTTCCAACATCAGCACTCTCTGGAAGAGTCATACCAGAAGATGATCATCAAAAAACCTCAACAAAGATCCAGGCGATGCTGCAGTTGTAGCTGCATTCATCCCACCGGTTC